AGAGCTGCCAGCTGCTGCCTGCTGCCTTTGGAACAGACTATAAGAACTTTTCTGATAGAGAAGTGCTCTGAGCCCGACCTGACCTCGCACACCCTGGTGCACTCCGTGCTGACGTGCCTTGCCGACTGTGCATGTTGGAGGTTGAGGGAGTCGATATCTGCCAGCCGATAGCAGGCTATCATTCTGTGGTCAAGTGTATTTGGTCCCCATTGCACCTTGGAGGAGCTTTCAATCTGAAAGACGTTTTATCATGTCGGAAAGATTGGCGTCACTTGGCGACATGAGCATTTGCCACCTTGATACCACGCTTTCGATTTAGAGAGACAAACATTGTGATTGCATGAAGTGGATGCATCTATCTTTTTTTCCCGCAGGCTTCTCAGAATTTTCTGACACTGGCATGCCAGACCTGGGCGGAAGCGTTCGAGATGACGTCTCGAACTTCGTTACTGATCTACTCAGCACGTCTGCTGCAGTTTATTATAGTTTCAGTGTAGCTGATTGACACATTATTTATGTCTTATGCTGTGTTGTCTTGTTGCCTTATGCTCGTATTCTAATCGTGCGTAGAAGGTTGTGCGTTTTAAACCTAAAAATGTTTGTTCCATAAACAGATAGATCAAGGTGTTAAAGTCTAGTGGAAGCAGCATCTGGCATGACAACGGCTCTATGTGCGGACAAATTACGTTATAAAACGTGCGGTGATGCCCGCGTATATTTTGCCGCATTGGTCACAGGAGATGAACAAGTGTCATTTTTGTCGCCGACGAACTTTGGAGCCGTCTGAATTGTCACCAGGGGTCAAATTTTTCAGAAACCGTTGCAACATATCTCTAAATGCAATAAACTGCAAAAAGCAAAGACCAATTGAATTCAAAACGGCATACCCACCAAGCATTTTTGTTTTGGAAGTTTATCTGCACTCAAGTTTAATTTGCTAGCCACCAAAGGCTGGGTGAGGGTTGAGACTAACCTAACGGAGTTATCAGATAATGGCGTACTTAACATAACCAGCCTAAAGTCGCGTAGCTTCCTTTTCAGTTGAGGAAGGCCTCCAAATCAGGGATGCGGTTTCCTGTTTTAGTTATCACTTTTATCCTTTTTTCATTTATCATAATTTTTGTTTCAGCCCGCGAACACTGACTTTGAGGAACTACGCCCTCGCTACCAGCTGCGAAAAAATTGCCTCTAATCTGGGGAGAAAACTGTGTTAAGTGCATTTCGGAGGCAGGCTCAGCCATTTTTCTTCCTGCACCCTTTCCCCTTCCCCTTCCATTCCTCACTCCTACGAATTTTGCAAAACTGCATCACGTGGCCCTACTTTCACCGATAACATGGTTTTGCATGCACCGCAAACGAAATCACTTTTGTTTTCGTGACGTCATTGTAAAATCAGCTGAAGGCGTTGGCGGCCTTCATTATCTTGGCATAATCATTACAAATACATTTGTCACACTTTCTAACATAATCGCAATTATTTAGAGCAAATTCATACAATATTAGCACCAACAGATGCAAACGACATTTTGAAACACCTTTGGCACCTTCATTTAGCTTGATACGCAATGTGATGGTAACTAAACGCGTTTTATTTCATGCCTGTCCACCGATCAGTGCGCTGATTCTGAGCTGCGACAGGCAATGTGAAAGGCCTACACTAGCACTCCTCGGCCTTTTACCTTAAAGCCGCTGCTACTCTCTGTAGCAGGAAGCCTCAGATGAATTCCTGACATGCGTCGCTCCAACGACCTCCATTTACCTCTGAAGCTACAGTTCAGTTATCCACCAACAACAATCCTAGATCTGTAGGGCTTTTAACGCTATTATCTTAAAACCGACGGTTAGCCACGTCTTTCCAGCCAGTCAGCTTCCTCCGACATGGACACGAATGACAGCAGCGCAGACCCCCGCACTGAACGCAACGCATTACTGCGTGGTGACCAATCAAGCCCGTATGTCCCAAATGTCACAATGCTTTAAAACACTGCGCAGCAAACTGATCACGCTCGACGCAGGATGATGCAGTTAGCCACGATTCTTAAGTCCGGAAATAAGCCTAATTATTCGGTATTTTATGCTGTTTAGCATGTGAAGTGAATCTTGGCTGAAAAATCTTTGAAAAACACTGGAACTGAGTGGCATTGGAAAGACGCCGTGTCACCACTGATCTGCAATGTCAGCACTGATATAGTATAGTTTGTAGTATGTTTCTGGCACCTACTATAAACTATCCTGTTTAAAGCTACTACGTTTGGCAGCATTTTATGGCTCAACTTGCTCATATAGCGAAACGCCAACGTTTCGGCATGTGCTCACGCTGCGAGCGTTGGCAAGTACAGCCCAAAACTAAGCTTTCAGTTTCGTCGAGCCGAGGTAATCTGTTGCAATGTTGTCTTGTCTATTGAATTTTTCTCATTATCGCAATCTTGTTACCAATTGGTTCGCAAAAGTGTCAGTTTTTGTCACCGATCATATTCGGAAAAGCAGACGCTTTTTCACCACTGATCAGTCAGCGCATTGGTTCCCAAATTCAAGGTTCTGACACAGATGGCATGTTTGTAGCATCTAAAGTGGAAAAATGACATGTTTTTAGGCTGCGGATTAAACAGGATATACTATTACAACATGTTGTATCTTTTGGTGCACTGAAGATGTAATTTTGTTGACTTGATGAGCTAGAGTGGCTTGCACTCATGCTCTGTGTCAGATTTATATCATTACTTTTTCAGTCCCCCATATGATATGTTAGCACGTACTTCGTAAACAAGTATTGACCATCCTACCTCCAAAGATTGAAGGGACTGCAAACTAGCCAAGCCGCCAATTGCACAGCTTAGTATCGGCATACGCACTAAAAATCTATAGCCTCGCATGTAATTACATGTCATGAAAAGAACAGCAAGAACAGCAACGTCAACGTCAACACCAATGGGGACCACAATAGCAACCTTTCCAACTGCAGTGGCGGCAGAGGGCACCTGAAGGCTAGCTGATGGCGCTTGTCCGTGTCAAAGTAACAAGGCTTGGAGTTAACTTAAACCCTGTTCTATTGGCAATAGACTTATACTCAAAATGTCTTCGGTACGGGTGTACACAGAATCCAGGCCAGCCTCGGCACCTTCGCGCCACACGTAGTATTTGAAAGAAGACGAGGGCGCAAGAAGCGGCCTCATGCCTTGTTCATGGACACTGATAACCCATTCAAACGTGGCTGACAAGTACAAGCTCGTCCGTACGCCACGTACGAGCCATTCTTAGACGAGTTCCTTAACATCTGACGAACGTAGACAAATCTTTGCCGATCTTCGTGCGCCGATTCCATTGTTTGATTCCATTTGGCGATCTTAAACCTTTGCTTGGATGGTCAGGTACCGCTGTTTTCATCTGGTTTTCCTTCTGCATGAATACCAAAACAGCGTATGCATCTACCAGAAATCATTGCTATATAAAGTTGCACAATTTGCAGGCAACGAGCTGCAGAATACTGAATTTTTAATTTGTTGGGAATTCCGCAAACGCATTTTGGAATTCTAACTAAGTGTCGTGCCTTTACTTAAAGTCAAGCAATGAATGGTGTTTGCTGTTTGGACATTCCCTCTGTAGCCGCATCCATGAGACATGTGTAATTGCTTACAACCCGTGGTGTGTTTACATGCTACCTGTGTTCTCTGTGACCTGTGACGTATCGACTAGGTAGTATGCAAAAAACAGGAATGCGGTTTTGCAAAATATGCCTGGGGTGGACTAGGCAGAGGAAAATCGGTAAACTGAATTAACTGATGGAGGCTGAAACTGAAACTCATTAGTTGAATAGAAAACCACAGCCATGGCAGCATCTACCACTAATGTTAGATCACTTCAGAATCGCTCTTGATCTTGTGTTGATATTTCATCCTCCCAAAATGCAAAGTTCGGTAATTGCACCTCATTGTAGGTGGTATAGTAATTAAGTCATGGTATTCTCTTGAAGCCGCAGCATGTCATGTGTTTTTGGATTATGAAATGGTATGCATTGCATAGCTATAATACTTCATAATGCGATACAATTTGCCAATGTTATCATTTTTGGTAAGCAATTTTTACCGACAATCGTCATCGTATCAGATCTAAATTTATGAGTAAGAAAACTAATTAGAGCACCCGCCAAGTACGCAATGTAGGTAGGAATGCCCGTCAAATGCCTAGCGAGTTTGCTTAAGTCAACCCGTTTTGGGTCTCTGGGCAAAAGAGTCCCCAGATATTCAGGAGACGCCCCTCCCTCCCCAAACATTCAGATCAACGACGCCAATTTACAACGCCGAAGGTTTGTCTTCCCGGTAAGATCAGTTGGCAGAGCACCGGACTCGCAATCTGAAGACCACGGCTCGGACCTCAGCAGTGTCCAGCAGCGAGGTCCAGTACTCGTGCTACCTGGCTGAAAACGAAACATCATGCGGTCCCTCTCCCGACTCAATAGCACCTGACGACCATAGGACGACATAGGACAATTAACTGGCCGTAATGTTATGTATACGCTGATACCTCAGACCACGACGATGGTTTGGACCTTCATGATAATATCACCTGGTGTCAATTCTTCTGTAAAGGTGATGAGTCTTGAGATACAATAATTTAGTCAGACCTCACGTGTGCTCATACATTTGTAGCGTAAGGCGTCCCCTCCCGCAGCCGCTCTTCACCTTCCAACGATGCATAAACGGAGATATTCCTGATGTCTCCGTCGATGCATAAACGGAGATTCTCCTGATGTCTCCGTCGATGCACAAACGGAGATATTCCTGATGTCTTCGTCGATGCATAAACGGAGATATTCCTGATGTCTCCGTCGATGCATAAACGGAGATATTCCTGATGTCTCCGTCGATGCGTAAACGGAGATATTCCTGATGTCTCCGTCAATGCATAAACGGAGATATTCCTGATGTCTCCGTCGATGCATAAACGGAGATATTTCTGATGTCTCCGACGATGCATAAACGGAGATATTCCTGATGTCTCCGTCTATTCGATCGTCTGCGAGGCTGGTAATCGAAAATGATATTCAATGCGCGCGGCACGCAAGTCTTGATGATTCACGGGTTTCGTGAGTATGGCCTACGTCATGTATAAGCATCATTGTTCTGCATTTGTAATCCAAGCCGATTCTCTCCATAAATTATATCGTTGCGACACTACACGTCACACAACTAACATATCAACGGCCGGCATGATTCATGCATGAAATAGAAGCCAATAAAATAGCTGTTTTGAATACCGAGAAGGAATTATACGCTAGGCAAATGCTACACTTATCCTTCAACAAAGGACATAAGTCATGATGCATTTCAAAAATCGCACTCCATCTTCGAGTGCATTCTAATAGCTGCATATTGAAATACAACACAAACGCTTCCTATAGCTTGTTGGTGCGCATGGTGCGCGAGATCTTGTGATTGTCAGAAAACACCGGCTAGATATCCTACAACTACCTTGCCGCAGACACAGAGGCACCTCATGTCATCACACTGCCCTCTCCAGGAAGAACCGCGCCTGTTCCTCGACGCGCAGTACCCTTGGCTGCTTGAACTGCTGCATGGTGGCCTGCGTGGTGACGCACACGTGCTGACGGAACGCTGCAAACGTGCCTTCATGCACGCGCACCAGCCGCATCGGTCCAATGGCGTCCTTGACGCGGAACGATTTGTACACGTAGTGACTCTCCTGGAGCGAACGGTCGACGTCGGCAGCCTGCTCCGGTGACAACGGCGGTCCGCTCAGCTCCAGGAAGATCAGGTAGTGCGGCGGCCCGGCGGCGCCCGCCGAGTCCAGCACGCTCTCGGCCGTGGTGAAGTCGAGTAAGCGCTGGTCTGGCCACGCATCTACTGCCTGCTGGAGCGCCGCCGTGAACGCCGCCTCCGACACCTTCTCCATGTGTACATTGAGCATCTGCTTGGCGCGGAACTGGAAGTCGAAGGTGGGCGACTGGTGGAAGGTGCCGACCACGCGCACCACGTCACCCATACGGTAGCGGTACAACCCGGTGGCGTTAGTGACGACGACCTCGTAGAGCTGGCCAACGCGGACCTCTGACGCCAGCAGCGGCGCCACGTCCGGCTCCGCCTCACCCGACTCGTTCACCGGCAGGAACTCGACAAAGTTGCCACCAGGCACGAGCGCGTAGGCCGGCGACCGGCCCGGCTCGCGCACGTTTACGCCCAACACGCCTTCCGACGCCGTGTAGATGGGCGAGCTGACCGGCAGGCCGCCCAGATATCGCTTGCACCGCTCCCTGTACACGGCCATCGAGGTGCCCGACGAGAGAGCCGACACCATGCGCATGCGTGGAAAGATGCGTGGCACGATGCCGTCGAAGCCGAGCTCGAACTCCCGCTGTAGCTCGTCGGCGCGGCGCGGCTCCGGCGTCAGCAGCGCGTCGATGGTGCGTCGCTGCTCGTCGCTGACTTTGAGCGTGGCGCTCAGCCGGCCGGTGCGGATGCCCTGGACGAGAAGCGGCCAGTGGCGCTCCAGGAACTGCAGCTGGTTCCACAGGCCGAACGCGAAGCCGGCCTCCCAGAAAAAGATGTCGCGGTCGCGCAGCGCCATTATGAAGCCGACATGGAGTGCCTCCGCCTCGGAGGTGATGATGTTGGCCTCAAGAGGCATGGTGTACTGACTGGACAGCAGCGCGTTGGACATGCTGTGCGCGGAGGCCGGCCCTATCTTGACGCCAGTCTTGGTGTAACGCCATCGTGGAGCGCACGGGAGCAGCATCACCTTCAAAAGGTTGGAAGGAAAGAAAGTTTTTCCGACAAACCCGTGGACTGCGCCAATAATCTTCACATAGGTGCTCTTAAAGCCGTTGGACGTCATTGGGATGCGTTTGCTGGAGCCGGTGGTGCCCGATGAGCAGTAGAACATGGAGATCTTTTCGCTGGGTCCGTACAGGGCCCCCAAGTCTCCGTCCGTGACCCGCTGAATGTATGGCTTGAAGTGGTCGTACTCCGTCACTGGGTGAATTCGTCGGAAATCCTGTGGAAGTATGCAATATTGTCATCCGTTGTTAAACTAGACAGATAGATAGATAGATAGATAGATAGATGGATCTCTCTCTCTCTCTCTCTCTCTCTCTCTCCTCCTCCTCTCCTATATCGCTCTCTCTCTCTGCTATCTATCTATCTCTCTCTATATCGCTCGCTATCTCTCTCTATCTCTCTATCTATATCTTCTCTCTCTCTCTATATTCTCTATCTATCCTATATCTCTCTATATATATATCTCTATCTCCTTATCTCTATCTATCTATCTCTCTTTCTCTCTATCTCTATCTCTCTCTATCTCTGTCTACTCTATATATATATATCTCTCTCTCTATATCTCTCTCTCTCTATCCTTCTATGTCCTTCCCTCTCTCTAGCTGATATATATATGCTCTCTCTCATCTCTTCTATCTCTCTCTATCTCTCTCTCTCTCTCTCTATCTCTCTCTCTCTCTCTCTCTCTCTCTCTCTCTCTCTCCTCTCTCTCTCTCTCTCTCTCTCTCTCTCTCTCTCTCTCTCTCTCTCTCTCTCTCTCTCTCTCTCTCTCTCTCTCTCTCTCTCTCTCTCTCTCTCTCTCTCTCTCTCCCTCTCTCTCTCGTGCACGTGTGCATGTGCGCATGTGTGTGCGTGTGTGTGTGTGTGTGTGTGTGTGTGTGTGTGTGTGTGTGTGTGCGTACTGGGACTGTACAACCCGCAGCCTAAAATGTGTACCTGGAATACCGTAAATTAGCCACACTTGTGGCGATTACGTACCTCCAACGAGCGCATCTCAGAGAAGCGGTGATCGCGGCCGTAGTCGCTGTCCTCGTTTTGGCGCAGCGTCTCCAATACGAAGCGCTCCTGGGCGCAGTACAGGTCGCAGTATCCAGCACCCAGGCGCCGCCAGCCGTAGGCACCCACCAGCTGACTGACGCGCCGCATCAGGTACAGCAGCAGCAGCGAGCGCCACGTGTGGAACCGAGAGCGGGGCATCGACACCAGATCGATGGTGACCAGCAGCAGGAGTGCCACCACACCTGCGTCAGAAGGCGGCGGTGTCAGGACGAGTTTATTGGTCAGGCGCAGCGCTCCAGCCTTCGTCACATCTGAGGCGTACTGTCACCGGAATTGGGGAGGATCGCTTTGTCATGTCCGTTTTCCTTACCCAACATACTTTCGGTGCAGTGTTTTGTAAATACTGGAAACACCCATGCTGCCAACGCAAGGTTGAGTGAATATATAATATAATTGGAGAGCTTTTCGTGAACATGATCTATGGTGGGAAACGGAGTGTTTTAACTCAAGACCAGATGTCAAAGAGCATCCACTCGCCTACGAGCGTCAGAATCTCATGTCAGTGCCTACTTTTTATGAAAGGAGACTAAAGCGCTTTTATGGTTCAAAAAGTTTTAGTTGAGATGTTCTCTCAAGAAACGCCGATTGCTATGAAATTGAGAGTATTGCAAAACCAGAAGAGGAAAATATGTTTCAGTGGCCTAGACATTTTTCAGCAATGCCATGTGAGGAAACAGTTTATGGATAATTTGTGGGCATATTCCGTTGCACCCCAATTTTTTAAGGCCTTTTTAGTCCATTTTGCAAAATGCTCCTCGCCCTTACTGCGCTGCCTTCTCAGCGTAAAAGTTTGACCGCTTACTTAAGATGTAAAGGCGCTATATAAACCGTATATGACGTCATATAACCATGAAGCTGGGTTTTTGAACCAGTTTTGCTTATTAGAGAAGTCAAATAGGAAATTCAATCGTTTTATTTAACCCTAAGTAATTTTCTCATGAACGCAAAATTGTGATTTAAAGCTAATGACGTTATCTATATCTTTGTGCATCACTTCATTCTTGTGCGAGTGGCGTGGTTTGCCTTAAAATGCGCCTTATGTGCCCTGAGCATTGTCAATCATCTGTGTCCGTGTTTCGGTGCATGTTTTTGCTAGAGGGATTGTGAAGGGCTGAGTGTATGTAAATGTGTATGTAACATTAGGTGAGAAGCATGAGTCGTGAGTTGAAGCTAGTTTCCCACGTAGCTTGGTCAAGGTGTGTAGAGAGGGCATCAAACATTTTGCACAGGTGCTTGTCCGGCAATATGTGTACCGTGTATGGCTGCGTAGAGGGCGTGTGACTGACCATCTGGATTACGAACATTTCTCCTATTTATTTTTGAGGATGTTCAGTTCATTGCAACTCACACCTGACGGAAGGATTTCAACATCATGCCTCAGTATGAGGATAGCATCACTGTACTTAATTTATTTGACTTTGAAACAGACGCTGGAGCTTGATCATGGTTGACAATATTTTCTTGGGACAGCATCTCAAAACATTATTGTTGAATTGTCTGATGCAATATTTGGTGATAAGCTCAGCATATGAAAAGAGAGCGTTTAAAGTCCAGTGAGATTTTCAGTTTTTCCATACACTTGCTGAGAGGAAGTACCATAGGTGAAGCAGGAGAGTCCTACTGTTGGGGCTAGACGCAGGCCGAGTTATGCACTCCATTGACGTATCTGCCATCTTTGCGAATTAGGAAATGCTGGTGCCAGAAACCTTGAGTTGTTTCAAATATTTTAATATAAAACATTTTGGATCAGGCTTCCTTTTCTCGCTGCAAATCATGTCAACCCTCACGCTGAAAGGACGATGGGAGTTGAGCCAAATCCCCTGAGGTTTTTAGGATATCTTCCTGGTATGTTTTGCAATTGCGCCCAAATTTTCAGCACTCTATGGCGCTTTCATTGTGCGTGTTTTGACACCAGAAACATGCTCCCATTTTTTTCTGGTTACGGAGCAGTGGCGGTTTTCAGTAGCACTGCGGGGCGATCTACGACCGGCGTGGGCGGCGAGTGGCAGCCGTCGATGCCCCGGAACGCGCGCGGTGAGCCGGCACTGTTACATTAACAGAGCCAAATGTCCCAAATACATCCTAAAACACATGTAAATATTCACCATTGAGCTTAAATCAAACAAGAAATACGCCTGCTCAAGTTTCGTGTCTCCAAGGAACAGTCTCAAAGGTAGAGTGTAAACTTGAAATTGCGATTTTCTTGTAAATTCGATCTTTGAACTGCCATAATTTGGCCAGCTATGGAAATAACAACATGGCATCTAGTACCAATCTCGTGTTCTCGTTGACACCAATCCACTGGTGTTTTTTGCTAAGCTGTATCGTCATTATTTCGGAAACGTCCTGGTGTGGAAGTCGCATCTCTCCTTCCCCCATTCCATTGGTCCGCGTGATGAAAAATGGCGAATCAGGGCAGAGGTTACAGAGACAGACCAGACCATTTGTAGTTTGTAAGAGACACGCGTAAGCTTTTTTGCATCTGTTAAGACCGATTAGAGGGATGTCGCAGGTGCTGGCGAGGTCGCATCATGTGCTCATGAGCTATCGCCATCTCTTTTTGGGAAATGTGGTAGTATATGTACAATTGTAACTAAAGTTGTCATCTTCCTTTTATCCATTGCATCTATGGATCTTTCAATGATTGCTGCACTGCGTCTGAAAAGAGGAACTTGATCCTTGATTTTTTTGCAATTATCGAAATATTGCAAGACGAGGTCACTGGTAATTATTCTTGGAACAGAAGAGAGCTTAAGGGCTTTCAACGCTTTTGAGTGCCCAAGCCACGCTCCCTCTGAGTTATCTGTGCCCCTTGATAGGCCGTAAGTCAAAACTTAGTATTGAAGGGAATTCTCCAAATCTAATGATATCAAAGCAAACACCAGACATAATGAAGTCAGCTGACTTAAAACGGTTGGTTTACTTTCGAGTGGAGAAGATGGTTCCTATTAACACATTTCTTTCGTTAAGTAAAAATGCTCCACAATACGTTATTGTTTGATTGCGTCATGGAACGGCAGCATGACGTTATTGTTTGATTGCGTCATGGAACGGCAGCGTGATGCTGAGGTGCTGTCAAACTGACCGTGCGAAGTTGCCACCCTAGCACTCATTCGTGGTACCTCAATCTCCGACAGTTGGTCATGGCGGTGCTGGAGGTATTTGCTGAATCAAATATAGTTTTGTGATAGTGTTTTTACCCTTACTCATAGTGGTCTTGATTATTTATCGTGAATTTAAGCTGTTTGGTTTATTCATATTCTCGGTTATAGCGCTATTCTCAGGTTCTTTGATTACAAGTCTCATTTTCGTAATAATTAAGACCCATGTTCAACTTATTGTAGTATGTAGTGCAAAACGTGATTCGTGTTTGAATCCTGCATCGCCAGCAACATATTGATCTATAGCCAATTGAACTGCGTGATGTCCGTAAACCGTGCTCACGAACACCATGAACGAACGATTTGCCGATTATATTTTTCTAGCCCTTGCCAAGAAGATCCGAACCCAACGTTGTATAGTCAATGAGGTGGCAGAAATTGAATGGCGTTTCTGTGGCATCATACACACCTGAATGCCCTTGAAATTGTGTTGAAATGGTGCTAAGTATTAGTATGCACACCTTCGCGGGCGTGTAGCACAAAATCCTAAGGGTTTTATATTTAAGTGGGAATGTTCCACAGTTGACGATATTAAAGCAAACTTTAGATATGATGAAATATTCTCATTTATAACAACTGGTATACGATGAAGTGGAAAAGAATGCTCAAGACAACACAGTTTTTCTATTACGTAAACATGCTCATCAGTCCGTCCGTCCGTCCCGGTGGCTCAGTCGGTTAGAGCGTCTGCCTCCCGATTCACCCACCCGTGGTGGGATAGCTTTGAGTCGCTTTAGGCGCTCGCTATTTGGCTTTGCCAGGTATGGCCTGCGGCTGGTGGCAGCGGTCCCGCTAAAGGTCCGTCGACGTCAGCGGGCGGGGCGAACCGTGCCGAGCATTGCGGCACGTCAAGATTTCACCAGTAAATTCTGCCGTTGCTTGGAATTGTGCGATCGGGTGGTAGGGGTCAAAGCTCACACGACAAGCACTACTTAGCGTGAGCGCTGATCCCAAAAATCCATCCATTCAAAGCGCTCCGATCAAATTTATAAAAAAGAGTATAATAATAAAAATCACAGCATTGTTTGATGACGTTATTGTTCCTCGCACGACACTGGCTGAGAGCTAGCTAACGGCCTTTACATCTGAAAATCATGCTCCCAAATGCCAATTGAACGACTCGGCAATTTTATTTTTATTTGCTTTGATTGCATTCCATAAGTCACATGGCTTATGAAATGACAGGAGTTTTGAGTTTGAACAACGTTATTATAGTGTCACGGACGCATGGGTGATTCTGAAATAGTCTCCCCGAAAAAGCATTTTCACCTTCGCTGGTGTGTAGTTCAAAACTGGAAAGGCTTATGTCTCAAGAAGGGTAGGTCTGTGAACTGCACCAAATGGTCTTCAAAATGTCTTTTTTTAGTCCAAAACCCGGTACAAATGTGTAACACTCACATTTGAGGCCTGCGCACACATGTGGAGCAGCATGCCGTTCATACTCTCTTCAAGAGCAAGTCCTCAGTTCATCTGCGGGCCGCGGGTTCTCACAGAACGTAACACATTTATTTGACTGCTTACTAAAACCTGGAGTTATGGTGCATTAATGCTCAGTGTGTCGCAGATTTCTAAGAGCTTATAGTTTGGCTTGCTTGATTCATATTTTACATGATGCTCGAAGATAATGTGTTCGATAAACCGCAAGGTGATGCGATGCCACGCACCCAACTACTTCATCATCTGCATAGGCGTTGTCAAACAAGAACTGCCTCTGCAGCGATCAGCTCCGGAAGCCTATTCAGTTGTCATCCCGCACAGTGACACAAGGGAACATGTAGGGCCTAGTTAAAGCCACGGTGGACATGTTTGTTTTACACCTCCGATGACATCTGATGATATTGCGCTGGTGGATTCCGTGAATGTTTGCTTTGCACCTCCGATGACATCCGACGATATTGCGCTGATGGGTGCAGTGAATGTTTACTTTGCACCCCCGATGACATCCGACGATATTGCGCTGGTGCTTTGCACCTCCGATGACATCCGACGATATTGCGCTGGTGGGTGCAGTGATGTTTTAC